TATCTACGGGAAGTGATGAGGTCGGAGCCTAGACGCCAAAATCTAAATATGCTATACTGCTGTAATAAACATTTCAAACGTGAGTTGGCTGACTGAAATCCCATCGGATCTCAGCTCCAAGACCTTTGCTTTTTACGTACATAATGTTTAAAAACGACTCAAATATAGTTTAATTTTTTAAAAGGGATCATAAGGCTCAGTGTGTGTTCATGTCACCCAGTGCAACAGTGTGACTCACTGATGTGTTTTTAATAGTTTCCAGACACCAATGGAGCTCTATGGCACAGAGGAAGAAGATATCAGGTGTGGCTCCAGTTCTCTGAAATATCTGGATTTGTTAAGCTCCACAGCCAACACAACCCTTATTGGATCTTTCATTCACAATCTCTCTTTTATAGCTTCTCTTTTGTCTCTTTCTGACATTAAAGAAATTGAAATTATGTGAAATTAGATGCATTTGATGAGCGGATTAAGAACTGGATTTAGCCTCAATAAAATGCAATAACCATGTCAATGACCATTTTTATGTTAATGACACTTAATTGTATATCTCTGTCTCGCAACAACCCAAACGCACTGAATGCTCCCATTGCCTGTCTCACCAACATCAATCTCTGGATGGACAGACAGAGCTTGTCTTATTAGGACCTAAAGCCGAGAGAGAAAAACTGAACTCAATGCTTGGTGACCTTACCAAACAGATTATTAGATTAATTTGGGAGTAATTCTAAATTCTGATCTAAATTATTTTTTTTAAACTTGTGACGTTTCACTCCATATGATGCTACAAGCAGCTCCTGTGTTCAGAAACATGTCTATGGGTCCCCAGAGACATAGGGAAACAAAGGGAAGTACCCCCAAAATTTATATGAATGCATCCTGTTTGTATTTTACATTATACATTATACCATGTTGAGCCAACATATACAGTCAGTAGCATATCCTAAACTTCCCACCATACTTTTTCTATCTACTGATATGTGAATCCTAATAATCCAGATCCTTTATTAGATCTGCTAGGTAATGACTCCTCAACTTTAACTACTAATAAGACCTTTCTTAAGCACATCCATTATTAGCAGTTCTGAGAATGAAGATTAACACAGACATATGGGGAATGTCATTTCAAACAGTGCCTTACTTTTTTTTTTCCTTCTCCCTTCTGTTAAGCAAAATACAGAATTTGCTTCTCTCAGAGTGTTACATGCCACAGATGCACAGGATATCAGAGCAGGCTGACTACATTATGGCAGCAGTTTACAGGGATTCCCACTGTAAAACATTTAGTCCATTTGGAAGAGAATAAAGCTGTCGTACAGATGGCTTTAGTGTGACAGAACAGAGTATATTCTCATCAAAACTGTCCTTGTGCCAGAATGGATGATGTCATCGCCATGCAATAAAGCCCTTGCATTATCTATTGAGACTATAGCGAGAAAGAGAAGGAGCCTATTCACTGCTACAGGGCTTGCAGTCCCTCCTTCTTTAAGGAAAACTAAACCATGCAGAAAAACTGCATTGACTATTTTTTGATAAAAATAGGCCAATTAGGTATCTCTGTTCTACCCTGGGGAGCAGTGACAGTGTGTCAGTATGTTTTTATTAAGCCCTGCAGAGATATTTGCCTGTTAAATCTTTTAATTACATGCAATTCATTGGCAGGGTTATTTCTCAGGCACACACAAATGCTTCTGGGAGGAGCCTCAAATTTTTACAGGCCAACAATCCGGTCAGAAGTCATGACCACTGAGAGAAATGTGGTCACAGGCTTTCAGTAACTTTACCAGTGTGGCTGACAGGTAAAAGGTTAATATATTATGATTACTCTTTCTAGTAAGATATGACAGCTGCAGTTTATGGCATAATAATGTCCTCCTTTGTTATCAATGTTTTATAATGCTATGTTAATTCTTCATATGCACAGTGCAAAAGCCCTTTAATAAAACATGCATTTCATAAACAAAGAATATGTGACATCTTGGATAACTGCCATAATGATGTTAACAGGTCAGGCAATTAAATGGACTAATGTGATAACAAGAGTCTACAGCCACGCTAG